CCGCGCCCCGTCTCACCCACCTCGGCGCGGACCCAGGCGGCCGCCAGCAGCGCGAGCGCGAGCCAGCGTCTCCACATCTGCGGAAGAGAAAAGAGCGGGGCTGAAGGCGCCGGCCGGGAAACTTCTGGGGCGCGGGCGCGGCCCCCCGCCCGGCCAGCTGCAGGAGGGTCCCGGCCCGCGCACCGCGTCTCACCGTGCGGGGCGGCTCGAGGGCGCGGGCAGCGGCAGCAGTGCGCGGAGGGCGAGCTCCGCGGATCGCCAGCCTCCGAGGAAACCCGACCTGGCCTCGCCGCCCCTTAAGACCCCTCCTTCCCGGCCCGCCGGGCCCCCAGCTCCTCCCATTCTCCTCCCCTTCTGCAGCAGTGGCCCCGCGCTCCCGCTCGCCTCCCTCCTCCGCCCCCGCGCCGGTGCCCCGAGCGTGCGGGTCCCAGCCCCAGCCCCAGCCCCAGCCCCAGCCGCGAGCCCCCGCCCCTGCAGGCAGAGGGACGGGGGGCACTGCAGCAAAGACGCAGGAGGGAAGGGGGACCCCACCGCGGGAGGGGTGGCCGGCGTGCGGCGGCCCGGGTGGCAGCGGCGCCGGCTGCGGCAGTGGCCAGGTGGGCGGGACCGCGGGGCCGGCCCGGGGCTGGGACGCGAACCGGGAGGACAAGGCGTCCAGCCAGCGGGGCAGGCGGAATTACCCCCCACCCCCAGCCTACCATCAATGAAAGGGAGAAGGCGGAGGTGCCAAAGGGGCCCTGCAGCCCTGGGACTAGGGTGTCACTGCGGGCAGAGCGCGGGGACACCTGCTTTGGGTTCAGCTGTGGATTTCTTGAGAGGGTGCAGCTGCCCTGCTCTGCGGAGACGATCCCGAGTCCAGCGTTTGCCAGCAGCTTCTTCCTGGTCTTCACAGCCCCTGGAGTGGATGCCCCTCCACTCCGCCCCATGTCCCTGCGCCCCAAGTCCCTGATCCCACTCGAGCTTCTCAGGTAGCTTCCAGACGCTTATGCCTCCCACCTCTTCCAACTTCTTCCCAGAGGCCTTCGAAGGTGGGTTCGCTTTCTGACCCAGCTAACCCTCTACATTGCGGCCTGTTTCCTGCCAGGACTCCCTTGGCGCTGGTGTTGAGAAGGAATCACCCTGTCAGGTGTAACATGCCCAGGGCTGAGGCCCACTTCCGCCGGGCCTGGGGCTGGCCCATCTACCTCCTTCAGCATAGGCTGCTTGCAATACCTGCTCACAGTCTTCCCCTTGAGATCACATGACGCATCTCCTCGCACATTCACATGGCCCCTTCCCCAGGCCAGGCCTTCCTCTCTCACCCAGAAGTGCTGGGAACCGCCTCTGGTTTCCCTCGGGCTGCCCTCTCCCTGTCTGTCTCCAGCGCAGTGTTCGCCCACTGACTGCTTTAAACACTGCCTTCTTCACGTTCTTCAACAGAAAATTTCAGAGCCCTCCTCCCACAAGTCCAAACTTTCCTCTTTCCTCACCCCATCTAGGTCCACACGCTTCCTCCATTCAGATCAGGTTGTCTTAACATTGTCCTCCCAACTGGTCACATTCACTCTTCTACCAAGGTTTGAGTGTCTGCTGCAGAGGTTCTAAGGGTCTTCAAAACGATGCCCACCCCACTCCCCGTGCAAGTTCGGGATGCGTTAAGGTAGCCAGTGAAGTCGCCCTGATGGAGAGCAACATGTCACCTTTGTTCCTGGTGAAGGCTGGAATGATACCGGGGCTTTAGAGCTGCAGAGCCAATGGGCCTACCCAAGAACTGAACACGGCTGCACTGTCCCTGGGAGAGGAGGAAGACCTGCTTGCATGAACCTCACTCCGTGCAGAAGCATGCTTCCGGGGTAGGCCTGCTCCCTCACGTGGGGTGGGGCTGACACATTCTAGTGCTTTGACGCTCACCAATCAAGACAGCTCACTCCTGCTCCTTGTTATGGAGCAACGCACACCAGATAGTCTGTCCCCATCACTGTGCTAGGGTTCAAGAAGGGAACTGTGAAATACAAAGTTTTGCTTCTGTCCTCTGGTAACTCACAGTAGTAACACCTCAGTTCACACTGTTCGCAAACAATTTGGTTCCCAAACAAAAGTGTTGGAAGAAATTTTGCTTCTGTTCATGAACTGCACGGTAGGTGACAAACACAACAGTGGTTATCTTCCCCATACAAACACACACATAGCCATCTTCCCCAAAATTATAAAACATCGAGTTTATAAACCAACGTGCCTCTCTACTTTGCATCCCTTAAAGCTCCCTCAAAGCTGTTTGCCGTTCCTTCCTGTTTGTCTACTGAAAATCTGTTTCGTTGCTGTTCTTTATAGATCTCAAGTTTCATTACATCTGTAGCACCAGGGCTGGGGATTTAGCTCAGCGGCAAAGCGCCTGCCTGGCAAGCGCAAGGTCGTGAGTTCGGTTCCGGTACCGGAGAAAAACCAAAAAAAAACCAAAAAACAAAAAACATCTGTAGCACCTTTTCTGAGAACATCTTGGCAGTGTTGGACATGAGGTTGGAGGTCAAACCAACCTGGCTTTCCACCCTGTCACTGCCACTTACCAGCTGTGACCTTCACCAAATTACTTGAACTCTTGGAACCCAGATTTCTGCACTTTACAAATGGTAGTGATAATGCCCTTTAGGAGGCTGGGAAATTTAAATAGATACATTACAAAGGTTCCTGGCAGATGTAGCCCTCTATAAATGGTAGCCATCATTATTTCATTGATCTGTTTTGCATCAAAATTGCCGCTGGTATTATGAGAGCCATCCAACATGCCTTGTTTTACATAATTGTCCCGACAAACTGAAAGGTTTTTTTTTTTTTATTCTGTTTTCAAATAAGAAAACTGAAGCTTGGAAAAATATGTTTTCAGGGTTATACACTTGGTTACACAGCTTTACAACTTGACATTTTCTTACGTGTTATACAATATTTACACACACAGTGGATCTTGATTAAGAGTATGGTGAACTCTACAGTAAACAAAACAAAAATAGCAACAAAATAAGCTGTGTGAGAACATTGACAACTGTATCAGGGAGGGGCATTTTGTTGCAGGTGGCAGAACAACCAACTTAAATGACTGTACAACTAAGTAGAATTTATCGACCTGCACCACCGAGAAGCCCAGGGATAGGACTGGATTTAGTGTCTTCATCCAGGATTTGAGGATGAATTTCTTGCCATCGTTTGCTTCTACTGTCAGCAGTCTCATTCCATCTCTGGGTTCTGCAGGATGGCTCCTGGGGCCTCTGGTCTCTCTCTCACAGCAGTAAACTGACTTCAGGGCTGGTCTCTGGCCTCAGTGGCTGAGGGACAGAGCTGCTACAATAGTGCTTAGGACAGCTAGATAACTAGGTAGAAAGATGATGGATGGACAGGTTTTTTTTCCCATTACTGGAGGTTGAACCCAGAGACTGAACTACATTCCTTTTCCTTTTAAAGTTTGTTAAATTTTAAGATAGGATCTCTCTCAGTTGCTAAGTTGCTCAGTCTGGGCTAGAACTTGCAACCCTCCTGCCTCCCAGTGTTGGGATTACAGGCATTTCCACTATAACCAGCTCTAGGATATCCCTTTTTAAAGTTTACACTGAGTTTCTTGATGCCTCCAAACTGATTATGGTGCCGGGGCCAATCGGCTGGTGTAAGCCAGGGAGAACTCAGTCTGTGAACCATCCACAAGAAGACCAGGCTGTGTTGGCAGGGAGTGGAAGCTAGAGCTTTGCTGAAAAATGTCCACTGCAATAGCGAGTCTTCAGCTTACACAGTGAAATCAGGGCTCAGAAGGCAAGGGAAAAGACTGTTGGAATTTCTGTTTTTACTTATTACCTATCAGAAGATAGAAATCAGTTTTGCAAATATATATTGATTCTGGCACTCATACTGGATTTCTATGTCAGACAGGCAGGAGTTAAACCCCATTTGCTAAATACCATGAAGAGTGAGTGGGTGTTCTTCCACACAGAGGGACTGACAGCAGCTGGTTCCCTCCAACAGACTGTGATGTACCGCAGCCAGCCTGCTTTAGTAGATTTATACATGATACACTCTAGTTTTAACTGAATTACATTAAAAGCATTTCAGCACCCAAACCCATAAACTGAGGATAAAAACTTTTTCCTATTAGTAAGAAAAAGAACAGCTGACATGTTTCCTACTTCTGAAAAGAGCTTTCTTCCTGCTACTTTCATGAGGTAAAAGAATTGCAATCAGACCTGACGATAAATCAGTCAAAAATTAAAAAGTTACAATAAGGCTATTTAAACCATGGATTCACATTCATTACTACTAGTGATAGTCTCATATGTAATACTGTTTAGTTCTTTAGAAAATTTCACTCAATATTAAGTATTTAGAGACTTTCCTCTAGGTTTCTTAACAGTGAAAACATGCCTTAGGGAGAAATAGTTGTGTTCTTTCTTTAATCAGGAATAATGGAAATGGTACATGAAGAAAAAATATGATAGGCTAAACCGCATTCTTTGGTCAGCACACATTTTTGGGTTTTGCATCAACAGATTAAACTAACTATAAATAGAAAATATTCAGGAACGGTATTATTTTTGTAAGGAGTATGTACAGAACTTTTTCCTTATCATTGTCTCTTTAGTAATATAGTCTATTTGTGTAATGTTTACATTGTGCAGGGTATTATAAGTAATCTAAATATGATTTAAAGCATATGGAAAGATAAGCATAGGTCATGTGCAAATACTATACCATTTTATATAGTACTTGAGCTTTCATGGATTTTGGTACCTTTGGGAGTGACTTGGAATCAATCCCTTGGAAAAGAAAAAAGATGACTGTATATATAGCTGTATAATAGTAGGAAAAAATATTAGCACAGATTATGCCATATGGGAGATTTGCTATACAGTGAATGAAAATACAGGTATCTCAAATGTTCCTTAGATTATTACAGTGGCTAGACTCTGTTTCAATAATGAAGTACACAAAGAATTGGGTTTTTTTGTGAGTGTAACTAAAGAAGACTGCACTGGGAGGGATACATTTTAAATAACACATTGCATCTTTAATGAAAACAATATTTTCTGGAAGAACTGTGCAAATGAGGCCTCAAGAGTGGCTGTTTTGAATAGGGGGAAGAAGGGTTCTTAGAAGCTCCCACAGCAAGGCTCACATGTGAAACTTCCATAACACCGTTCACAGAGGAGTCACAGTAGCAGAGACACTGGGGCTGGAGCCGAGCAGCAGGTTTTGGAAAGTTACTGATGTGGTTGTATTGGTAAATTTTATAAATCAAAATATAGCTGAGGGCTGGGGATATAGCTCAGTGGCATAAGTGCCTACCTGGCAAACGCAAGATCATGAGTTCGTTCCCCGGTACAGC